TGCAGCCATCTGGTATTATTTCTTTCTTCCATACGAGAGAATATATTTGTTGAAGATATATTGTATTTGCTATGTGATGAAGGATGATGGGCAATATTTGAAAAGTTCAGCTCAACGAGTATATATTGTATTTGCTATGTGATGAAGGATGATGGGCAATATTTGAAAAGTTCAGCTCAACGAGTTTTATTTCTTTTCTGCTGATAACTGTAAGCATATGGCTGGACGAGCGATTTAAGTATATTTAGGACAGCGATTATCGTGATTAAGTTTGGCTTTAAAGAATTCTTTTCACTATATAATCGATTCTTAATAGCTTTAACAGACGTGCCATTGCTATACCATACATACCATTTCACAGATCGTTCTCTGAGTTCTTATTTGCTTTGTGAAGAAGTCGGAATAATTTCTTGTTATCACCTAATCGAGCCGTCGTCTCCATTTTCAAGGCCATATTAGTTGATGTCATTAATGTCTGGTTAATTTTTCGAAACATATCCGGTAGTTGTGATATCCTTACATTCGTGCATTGGCAGTTTTACGGACTGTTGGGCAATTGCTTCGTGATAGCCAACTAATTAATATATCCTGGCGTAGAAGTGGCTGACTTTCGATGGCATTCTCTTAGTTGGGTCCAGTATTCATATGCTGTTCCAGAAAAGTTTTATATCACTATTGATATTATATTACGTTGTATCAATATTATATTTGAGGTGCTTCAGTGATTCGGCTTGAAATGTACTGTCCCCAAATTTTTTAGTTTGGGATTTAATTTTTTAGTTGAAAGATTTAAGTCGCTGTTTCTTGCAAGTTGTCAATTTTATGCGAATCTTGGTTTGAACCATAACATGGTCAAACCCATGAAGGCTGCCCGTTTTGTGCCGCAATGAGAATGGCTATCTAGTACGGAACTCTTCTAACGGCGACTAAGATATGATCAATCTGGTTGGAATGTTGGTTATCCAAAGAGTCCAACGTGACTAGATTTCTTCGATGCCGGATTATTAGTTAGAGCTCATACTGTTCGGCAAAATGAAGAAGGCGCTTCCATTGGTGCACTTAATTCCGATGCTAATTACCGAGTTTATCGTGGCAGCATCGTGACCATTGCGCGCATTTCACTCTCTTGATTATGGCCATATCATGTTTCGATAGAGATATTGTTAGCAATTGAAATTCTGCATAGAATTTATCCCTATCACAGTCACAGAGATTTGGAAAATATAACAACCGAGATATTACAGAATTTATCTTTTAAGAAAACATAGATTATACGGTCGCTTATCGGTTTTCACTTAATCAAGCGGAGTGGGCCTTTTCAGGCACAACAGTCACTGTGCCATTTCTCCCAGAGTTCCAAGACATCACAGTGATGAAGCCAATATCTTTACTCGAATCCGAATTTATTTAAGTAATTAGTAATTACTCGAGATCCGGAGTGAGAAGACAAGGAGGCGACATGCACATGATATTTAGAAAGGGTGTGGATAATAATCGTTTGGCTTACAATGTTTATAAGCATTCTGATATTAACACTGCTACGATTAACACTTCTCTGCGCATCCAAAGAGCCGTTCTCCTTAATAGGTTTCAAGCAATTGCTGTGACTTGCAAGCACATTTTATGCAAAAGCCTTGGGATCCCTTTATACCCTTGGGATTGTGCACTTATCGCATGTATCATCGGGCTGGAGGTATCATGCGTGTCAGAGAACGCGAGCGCCCTATCAAGAACATTAAATCCTTTCATTGAGTCACTTGAGGATAGATTTGGGGAACGGGTGAGTCCTCTCTCTGATTTTTGGTATGACAGGTATGACAGGTTTATTCCGTTAAAGATAAATTTAAAAGTAAAGAATTAAATTTTATTAAATCAAATTAAAAAGAAAAAATAAACTTAAAAAAACTATCGTTTGAGTTTTCCAAACTAAGAATTTTTAATAAACGATAATCTTTTTTTATTTTTTGATTTTTTTTTAAAGCAGTTGGAAGAGCCCACCGTTCATAAAACGATAGAAAAAACATCCTTTGCTGATTGGCAGTGGTTGTTATATTGCATTAATAGAGGCAGATTAAAATGTAGATATATCAATAAGTTTTACTCCAGTCCTTAGAAGTTGAACCATTGATGAATCAAACAAAGCAATATTCAGCTATCCCTTTATCCTTATATATATTTATGAACTTGTCATCTTAATAATAATAAATAACTTATAGATAAGCGCGAATTAGATGAAGTAATGAATTCATTAAATTATGGAGATGATTTGGAAAATGCTAAAGAAAAAATGTGGAAGCGAATCTGTCTTAATTCAGATGGCATTGATCTGCTTTTATCATTAGCTTCATCAAGCAAGTTTCCTTTCATTATTTTAAACTTCATATATTTTTTTTGCTGTTTTATATTAATAAGTAATTCATTGTTGTTTTAACATGTTGGTTGTAACCGTTAATAAATTTTGCACCGCAAATTCATTTAAGTTTATGTTAATGTTTGACCATAGAGCTATTTTAGTAAGTTCGACATATTTAGTTCCATAATGATGGTTCTAACAGAAATTTCTACGTGATTCATGCTGAAAAAATTGCAGAAAACAGTTCTTTACTGCAGATGATATATGCACCTATTGTGAATGATTCTTTTGCTTATTATCGAAAATTGTTTGAAAGAGAACCTTTGATGATTGATAAATTAGTTGCAACTCTCGAACCATTGCCACTATGCAAGTGGCTCGATCATCCAGATTATCAGCAGATGGTGAATATAATTCAGGATTTTATGACTAAGAAATGTTGGTTTACATTTGCTTCTATCATTTTATTGTCATCGTATTTTCATGTTTTCTTTCATTTTGCTCTTGTTCTCTAAATTTATTTTTTGTTTTAGTTTAACCACTTGTGGAAAGCACTTTTTTTAAAATGTTATGAATTATGAATGAAAAATAATGAGTTTTTATAAATTCTTACTGCTATTAAATTTTTTTTCGCTTACTTTTTCACTATTATTCTTAACTTTTTGTTATTAGCACCAGTGTAAGATCAAGCCTATTTGATTTTTTTCTTTTTTTTATTTTTATTCTTTTATTCTATTTTTTTATTCTTTTTATTCTTGCTTAAGTAGTTATTTATAATTGTTAGTAAAAAGTAAGTAATTAAATAAAAATTAAGGTTATGATGAAGCTTCTTGCTATCTTCTGCGAACTCTGCCGCGAATTTGCAAAAAGGGATGTGAACCTTCAGCATGGTATTTCGATTTACTTAATGCTTGTCTCCACGATCCTGCAAATCGCTCAGCTCCAGAATTCATTGATCCAGCCTATAGAATTTATCTTGGTTCGCTTCATATTAAGATTATTTTTCATATTCATTGAGAAATGTTAAGCGGTTTTTGTTAATGACCACTTATTGTTCATTCACTTTGTTTATTTTGAGTTTTTTTTTTTTTTAAACAAATTCACGAATAGTTAATGGTTCAATTACTTTTTTAAATTTTTTTTATCTTCTTTTTTATTTTTTATCTTCCTTTATCTTTTTGAAAGTTTATTAAAGACCGTACATATATGTGAAAACTAATAGTTCTCTCATTTTTCTTATATATAGTTCCTTAGCAAAGGTTGGTCCAAGAAGCTGTGAATTAATTTATGAATGATCAGTTTAGATACTTTCCACTCACAATTTCATCTTGCTAGAAAATTGCATGAGAAATCTGAGGTGATACATTCTGAATTACCAGCAACAGTTGATGAAAATGATGCAATAGAAATTCGTGCTTTCCGATCTCAAGAGGATTACAAAGTATTTCGTTCACATTCCTTAGGTATTTTTTACATTTTTTCATTTTTTCATATAGTTATAAGGTGTAGATAAAAATTATTTATTAATAACCAGCCAAGCAGGGCGACAACGCCATGTGCTTGTATTAATAATAACAATTAAGAAAAAGAAAACACAAAAAAAAAGAAAAAAAATATAACATAAACAAAATTAATATAAAACAATATGACAAAAATTAACAATTTAAAGAGGAAATTACATACCAATATAATATAGTACAATTCGAAGTAACATATATAACTTGAAGATAAAATCGAGATTTCTCACTTCCTGCAGTTCTTGCCTGGTGTAAAATCTTCTCTTTTTTTTTGTTTTTAATTAATATCGTAAATGATATTATCTAGTTTTTTTTTAAAGACAGCTAAGAATGACGCAAAAGCTACATCGTTCGGTAATTTGTTCCAGTAGTTAATAGTACGAATAAAGAAGTCATGAGTCCTTAGTTTAGTTTTCCATATAGGTTTTAGTAATTTTAGTAATTTAGATTATGCAAAATAGGCAAAATATTGGTTGAAAAATATGGCTTTCCTTTAGGACATAGATTCAAGTTCAATTCTCAAGCAATTATTTTATTAGTGATTTGACAATTTAATTGGCAGATGATGAATTAATGGAGAAAATCCCGCATCCTGAACCTATTGAATTACGACCTTATCAGCTAGAATTGACTGATGCCGCATGTAAAGGGATCAACACGATCATTTGTGCTCCTACTGGTTCAGGAAAAACTATTGTGACTGCATATATTATTTCACAGCATTTTCGAAACATAAAAGCTGAAAATAAAACTGCTAGAGTTGGTTTTATTTTCTTGTTTTAAAAATTTATTATGATTGTAACTAATATGTTGAATTTAACTCATATTTCATTGAAATTTCAGCATTTAGTAATCATCTTTCATTTCATATTTTTTAATTTTTTTTTTTCAAACAGGTAGCAATGGTAGTACCTTCTGTGCCACTTGTAGAGCAGCAAACCACTATGCTGAACAGATTTTTCCGAAGAAACTTTTGGCTTGAAGGAAAGAGTGGTGCTGAGTCAATTGATATTTATGGTCGTGCACCATATATATTAGCTAGTCATATTTGCGTTTTCACGCCTCAAGTTTTCATGTTAGTAATCTTTTCTTTTTATTCCATTTTGTAATTTCATTTGGATTTTATTTTCCTAGAATATATCAATAATTTGCATTATGCGCTTGAATTTTTGTTGTTAAAATGGAATAAAAGTGTTAAATGTTAAAGACATAATTTTCGCTTCAATTTCTTTAATTATTGCAGAAATTTGTTGAAAAGTATACGAAAAGATGATCGTCTTTATTTCACGGATTTTACTCTTTTAATTTTTGATGAATGTCATCATTGCGATGGCGATCATCCATATAATGGTTTTATTATGCATCATTCGTTCTCTTTATTCCGAATATATAAATCTTTGAAATTTTTTGTTTTTTCAGTTGTTTTAACGATTGATTTTGTTTATGATGTGAAAATTTTAGTGCTAATGCGAATGTTGCATGGTTTTGATGGTCCTAAACCTCAGATTGTTGGGTTAACAGCCTCGTTACCTGTTGGTTCTGGCCGATTTAATGTTGAGGCAGCTGTTGATGTAAGTGGTATTTGTTTTAAATTTTTTTTACTTATATTTAAGTTAAAATTTTGATATAAATGTCAAGTTTTTTTATTTTTTCATTATTTAATATTTATTTATTTTTTCCATCAGTATATGTTACTGTGGGACAAGGACTTCATTAAATTTTTTTCATTTTCTCAGTGTTGTAGCGCATGTTGGAACTTTGTGCGAATTTATCAGCTCATTCGATAACCACAGTTCGAAAACATTTTCAGAATCTGCAAGAATTTGTTATTCCACCGATTGACCGTAAGCATATGATTATCTTTTATCGTTTTTGATCTGAGATGAACTTTGATTTATCAAGAGCTCATTGTGATCTCCTTGGAATCATTTTTGAAAAGTAAGAAATAAAAGTATTTTATTTTAAATTATTAGTTGACTCAATGATTTAATTAAGTCGATTAGTATTTTAGAAATCAAAAGCGTTTATCGCCCTCAGTTCGATCCATTTGCGTCTTCAATACAGCTATGTATGACACTGATTGAACGTTTATTAAAGCCATTACTTCAAGAAGTACGAGACAAAAAGCAACTTGAATTGCGCCTGGTAAGCTATTGCCATCTTTTGAAATAAAAATTCATCAATACATAAATCTTAATTGTTTGGCTACAATATTTGTTGAAGGTGTATTAAGGATGAGATTAACTTTCCATCAAATCAGTTTTCAATTCGATATGAAAGTTTTCTTGGTCATCTTAAAACTCGTCTTGTCGAAATGCGTGCCGATTCGTCGAAATATAATTTGATGAAAATGTTAGAATATTTGATGGTAAATATTAATAATTCTATGTAAATTATAGAATTATAGAATTTTTTATTGTTACATTTTTACATTACATTTACATTACACTGTTACATTTTGCGGCTTTCTTAGTTTGATTATTTGCTTTTCATTTATTTTATCTTGTATATCACGAATTTTTAGTATTATTATCGTGCTTCGAATTTAAGTGATGTTCTACCCAATCGTTATGCCTATAATTATCTTAAAAAACGTATTGATGGTGAAACCGATGAAAAGGTTTATAGTCTGACACCAGTGCAAAAACATTTGCGTTATTTGTTTCAAAGCAAGTTTTATTCTCACTTGATATTCTTCAAAAGTTTTCTTTTCTTACTTTGATATTCTTCAAAAATTGCCAAAAATTATTTTCAGAACACGTAATTAATCCGAATACCTCAAGTGAATTTAGTGGTGAAGACAAAGAGATATTGCAAGTTTTACGTGAAATATTGCGGAAACAGTTGGTTGATATGCCTATGTCACGAATAATTATTTTTGTAACTACTCGTTTAATCTGTGAAAAACTCTCTCATTATTTGAATATAAAAGGAATTATAGATCAAAATGATATTGCTGTTGCATATGTGACGAGTTAGTCATTTAGTGTTTTTTCATATTTTCTTATTGGCTAAAATTTTTGCTTTGTGGTTTTCTTTGGTTTATTTCAACTTTTTTTTTATTTTGAACGAATTTAAATTTTTTAATAATTTTCCAAATATAAGTATTAGATCCAAACTCTTATATTTTTTTCAATTTTTTTTGAAATTTACTTAAAAAAATTTTAAAAAATTGCAATTTTATAAAATACATAAGCAAAGAACGGTTGATGAGATGGCCTAACTTTTCTAAGCCTAATGAGAGAAAAAGCTTAATTTTCAGGTAGTAATCGGAATTCTACTATTAGAGGTCAGACGGTCGAAGAACAACGAAATATACTTGATAGATTCAATTCGGGTCTTTTAAAGGTGCTGGTGGCGACTGCAGTGGCTGAAGAAGGTCTCGACATATCAGCATGTAATCTTATAATAAAATATAATAATACAGGCTCTGAAAGATCTCTTATTCAAAGAAGAGGTTTGTTTATTTTTATTCATTAAATCAGGGTATCTATCCTTTTTATATCTTTTTTAATATTTTTTCCAGTGGCGTTTATTGTCATTGCATTCATTAGTTTCAATTATTTATCACTTTTTTTGATAGGTGGTTCATATTATTTTATAATCCATTTTTCATTTTAATAAAACTATCGAAATTCAGATGAAACATATAAAATTCAATATTGCCTCAATTTTCTAGTTGAAAAACAATATAATTAATATAATTAATATTAATTAATAAACGATATAATGAATATAAAATTCATGAATATAAAATTTAAAGGCCGAGCTCGTGCTAAAGGTAGTAAATCAATATTATTAGTTCTTGATGGTTCAATCGAAGAGAAAGAGTTGGAGAACATTCAAAAGGAAGAATTGATGCGTCGTTGCCTAATGCATATACAAATTAAATCAGAAATTGAAATGAAAAATTTGGTAAGTTAAGTTTTATTGAAGAGTCTTCAAAAAAAATTAAGTTGATTGGTATTTTTTTGTAAAATAAAATATTTTCTCATTGACATTTGATATTGTCATTTTAACAAAGTGTAATTCTATTTTATATTTTCCTTTTAATTTCTTGTTCTAGGTGGAATCCAAGGTTAAAGAAATGAATTTGACGAAGCATCTAATGTTATTGCAAGAGAATGAACGAAAAAAAATGTTTGCAAATAAAAGGTTTGTTTATTTTTATTTCAGTAAATATTTCGAATTACTCCTTTTGAAAAGAATCGGCCTTATTATCATTATTTGCCATTCGAAATTCAGATGAAACATATAAAATTCAACATTGCCTCAATTTTCTAATTGAAAAATAATATAATTAATATAATTAATATTAATTAATAAACGAATTTTCGCCAATTTTTCTTTGATTAAATGGTTCATTTAATAGGATTTGACAAAATTATTTCTTTTTTCAGGTATGACCTGTTATGTCAAATGTGCGGTGCTTTTATATGTAGAAGTACTGATATACGCGTTATTTTAGAAAATCAGTATGTTTGCTGTGATCCCACTATTTGGGAACGAATTGAAATGTGCAGAAATTTTGACGGAAAGGTTATTTTCCATTTGATCTTTGATCTTCATCTCTAGCGAACACTTTCATATCCATTAATTTTCTGGAAATGCAGCTCAAATATCCAATTATGTTTATTATCATTATGTTTAAGTTCATTATGTTTTAATTATATTATAATCAGATGATCATTAATATGATCATTATGATATGATTATTATGTTTAATTTAATTAACACTGATAGTTCTCAAAGAATTAAATTTTATTCATTCATATATCTATTTGTTTTAAACGACCAATAAATTAATTCACGGTTTTTATTATTATGGTATAGTCATTCGCAATCACTACTACTGTTGGACGAGTATTTTGTAAAGGAAAAGAAAAATTGCATTGTAACGAAGTGCTGGGTTACATTGTTAATTTTTGTGGAGCATTTTTACCCGCAATAGCAGCAAAGGCAATTGTCATGGATGAAAAAGACAGTGACCTAGTAAAACAAACGAAAAAATGGGATACAATAAGAAAAGAAAAGTTTTTTATTGAAGCAATTACAGAAAAAGATTTGGTATACTTTTTTCTTCATATTATCATTTTAAATAACTTTTTTTAAAATTCTTAATAGATCATTTTGAGGGAGTGAAAAGCGGAAATCACATTAATCAAAAACTTTCTTTCAGAAGGAAATGTTTATTTCTCTATTCAATTTCTCAAAGGAAAAACATGACACTTTTCAAACCGAATCTTATCTAGTAGTACGGCGTGCATTAGCTGAAATGAAGAAGGAAAGAAAGCGTCGAATCCCACTTGAAGAATAACAAATTATACTTTATTGGCCCTTTCTTCAGCCCTTAGTTGTTTCCTATAATAATTCTACTATTCTTTGCTTAAATTTTTTGTTTCTTTTCTTTACGTCTGTATACTTATATTATAATATATAAAAATTACATATTTCATTTTTCATAAATACTATCCATTATTTCCCACATTCTTGATTAACAATATATTAAGAAAGTTTTATTGATAATACTTGCAATAAAGCTATAACAATATTTAGTGCTCATCCAATAATAACAAATCACGATTTACAATCCATATTTATTTGCTGCTTCTATTATGACGAGTAGATTCAGAATCACGATGAGATGCGGATGAACGTCTGCGGGCCAATTTCTCTGCCATTTTTTCTTTAGTGTATAATGTTAATAATTTCTGATACTGGGCTTCTTCTTCCTTGCGTTTTGCCGAACGTTTTATCTTCATAGCAATGCGATGACGTTTGCGCTGCATTTTAACAGGTGTTACAAGTCTTTGGATTTTTGGCGCTTTGCTCTTAGGTTTTTTACCTAAAATATTGCGAATTTATCCATGAATTTATATCACAAGTTTTACATATACAAATTTTGTAAACTAAAAAAACTAAGACCCAATTCATACCATTCTTTTGAGGAAGTATACGACGTATTACATATTTACGAACGTCATCATTTTTAGAAAGATTGAACAATTTTCGAATCTTTGAAGTCCTTTTCGGTCCAAGCCTTTTCGGAATTGAGGTATCTGTCAAGCCTTCTATTTCTTTTTCACCTAAAATTTTCAATAAAAATAAAAGCAAAAAACAAAAATATTAAGCAAATATTAAAGAGACTTCCTCATAAATCCTAAATTTCATCCACACTTATAATAAAACCCATTTTTCTCCTGGGCAAAGTGGATCAATTTAATTTAAATTAAATTTGCAAGGAACAATTCTTTCGCTTTCTAAACGTTTATAATTTTGAACTAAACTTTGTTATCGCTAGACGAACTATATAAACACACCTTTTTTAAAAACAACTACTATTATAAACCACTAACAAGATTCTGTATTAATTAAGGGCTTAAATATGAATGCTATCCCAGGAAAATTCTTATTTGTAAGAATGCTCTGCTCCATAGCTTCTTTACCAGAGACATTAGCTCAAATTAACTATTTGTGCTATTTCAGCCTATATCCAATTTTAAAAAAAGTAACATCATAACGTCAATTTTTCGCTGGAACAAATACGCTTTTTGCTCTTTTTCTATCCTTTTTTTGAACAGTTCCCTAACCTCAATTTTTCGTTATTGAAAGATTGAAAGAAAGATGTTATCTTTTTATTTTATTTATTTTTTGTATTAATGATGTTCCACGTCTTTTTGTATTTAATTTACTGCAAAATTAGAATCAGAGCAAAATTAAACTTCAATCTCAAATAATTCCAATAAATTTTAGTGGAAAATACCTTTTTTAACAACGACTAAAGCGAGAGCTGATAAATTAGCATCAACGATACATCCACGAACTGATTTACGCTTACGTTCACCATCACGTCGTTGCCTATAGCATTTTTGCCCTTTCGACAAAAGAAGTCGTACTCTGCTATTTGTTAACACACCTTGCTTCATTGGAAAGCCTTCTTTATCATTTCCACCAGTTATTCGAAGAATATAACCCTTAAAATAGTCATATTAACTTTCGCCAATGAAAATCTAATTCCATATGCGTCTTTTTCATAAAACATTTTTCCAAACATTTTATATGCAATATTGTAATATATGTAAAATTATTTTTTAAATGTAATTTAAATTCGAATTATATAAAAATTTTCCAACCGATAAGCAATAATGAAAACGACACCCACATGTGAGAAATTAACGTAACTTTTTTATCAAGAACTTTTAGTGTGTAAAATAATTAATATGAATATAAAAAATAAGAATGAAATCGCATGAAATGAGAGAAAAAGTGAATAAAAATAAAAAAAATTCGAAAAAGTACCTTCCATTCATCACCTAAGGCATCCGCTTCAACTTCCTGCGCCATTCTTTTGTCGTAAAAAATCCTCAGTTTTTTGTCGTCGTCAATGTCCAAAACCTTTTGGCAACCCGTGGCTGGGTACGCTATGTTTAACTTCATTTCTGAACCTCTTTTCTGGAGGAAAGCTGGATAAAATCAAGGTGAAATTAAGCGTAAAGCCGAAAATTTGGTGAAAAAGAGCACCGCGCAAAACTCTCCGCGTTATTTTGGCACAGTTCCCCCTCCACAATTCTCATCATTGCACTTGCCGCATCAACTACCTGGTGCTTTTATTTCCCTCTTATGCCTTCTTAACCCCAACCTAAACCCCACTACGAAACGAACTATCCGCTGGGCCTAAAACGCGCCGCATACACCCGCTTGCACAATTGAATTTATTCCTTTTTTCTCTAGCGCCACGAACGGCGCGCTATTTCTCGGACATCTATCTCGCCCTGACCACTCCCAATTGTTTCCGTCTCTTTTGGCTGCCACCTTCTTCCCATCCACTTTCTCTATATTTCTTCATCTTCCTTTCTCCTGTGAATGATGCAGTATTTGTGAATTAGTACCATTCCAAAAAATCTCATGGAAAACGTCGCTAATCTACCAACAAACAGTAATAAGTCGCACAGAGAACTCCATTTATAGGTTGAAATGTGGTAATCTGGGCTGAAAACGAAGAAAAAATTTTCTGAAAAAATGAAATAGAAAAAATAAAGGAAAGATTACAGAAATAAAAGAATTTATTTCCTATTTTTTATAGCAATAATAATAATACAACAACAATATAAATTTCATAAATACTTAAATTTCATAAAAAGTAAAGAGAATTTTCTTCGAAATCCAAAAAATTCCCGACGAAATAGTTTATAACAAAATGAGATAAAAATTGTCAATCAATAGGAGAAAATGGACTCTAAAAGACATATATTTCTTGTTTCCTTTGCTTCATAAATTCTCTTAAATAATACATATATAATACATATAAATAAATTTGCACTCAAAATTCAGAGTATTTATGAAATATAGAAAGACGATTTGGAACGGTAAAGAGAGAGACTAGTTGGCAAGAAATCTTTTACTTAAAATAAACTGCAACCACTGCCAACAAGAAATAATGAAAACAAACAAGTACCCTCCAATTTACAGAAAAATTCTCTTAAAATTACTAGTAATCAGAAAAAAAAAGCTTAAAACGTTTTACCTAGAAATTTTTTTGCGAAATATAGATGTCTTCACTTCTGCGCTCAAGCGCAATTTGTTGAAATGAAAAATCACTTCTATATCGAGTAAACTACACAGCTATTATTTTTGCATCATCTCTCCCTTCGCTCTTTCTCTATCGACTAATGCTCTATTCATATTAAATTTGAGCGCATACCGAAGAAAGGAACAGTTAGAATGAATAATTAGTGAAATTTGTGCTAGAAGAAAAGAAAGCTAAAGAATACTACTTTTAGATACATAGTAATTATAATTATTCACTCAATAATTATTCACTAACAAGTAAGGAAAATATACATTCGAAAAAAAAATACAGAAGAGATCAACTAGAATCATGAGGCCTCTTACGCTTATTATTGTGCCGCAATGCTGCAATTGTGAAATCTGCCATTTCTGATAATTCCACCATGTTGTTGGAATCACGACGTTGTAGGAGCTCCAAATTCTGCAAATTCCACAGTCAAAAATGTAAAACGGTTAAGATAATTTATCAATTTTAGCAATGAATATTATGATATCACTAATGCTGCAGACAATTATATCCAACCAATTATACCCTAACAAAAAGCTTAAAATAAAATGAATGAACTACCACAATTTTTATCAACAAATAAAAATTAATTGGAATTTAAAAATCAATAATTTCTGCATAAAACTTCGCTCAGACTGAAATACCCTGCACAAACTAGATATAATTTTAATTAACAGAAAATTTCAGGATAATCCAACTAACATTTTCATTGCACATATGTAAAAGTATCGAAAAAGCATTAATAGGATTGAGATCTTCAGCTGTACGACCTGTCAAAAAATTTGGAATACGCGCTAACAAGGACGAAAATGTATGATGGCCCTCCAATTTTAAATTTGCAATAGGCACTTCCACTCTTTCAACATCACACGTTGGATCATTTGTTGCGTTCTAAATCTGCCTTGGCAACAGAGGAACTAATTCGAATTCCACATATTTTTAAAAAAAGTAAAAAAATATAAATGATGTATTACTAAAATCTTTTTCCTTACCTTTTTATCGACAGGTAGACCTTCCCATATTTCTTCAAATCCCAATTCTGTTAATGGCGTTTTGAACCGCTCTGATACTCACCCAATCCATATAATAATCCCTCAATCCCTCTTTCGAATTTCCACTCTACTCCTTTCAATCATGTTTGGAAGGAATAAAAGAAACTTTAAAATGATATCGCTAATGGATTATGGAGAAAGAAGGTAGTGAATCTTTTGGGATGTTAAGGGAGTATTTCCACGAGAATTTCCATAGAATGAAAGCATTAAAGACATTAAAGCATCAAACAACGAAAGTTTACGACAGAAAGCAAAGAGGGATATTAATGAATATTACTGGAGTTTAAAAACGTATTACTATTTAATTTTAAAGAAAAGAATAAAAAATATTTAATATTCAAAATTAAAATAAATGAAAATATAGGTTATTTTTAAAAAATGTTTGATAAAAGAGGATTTATGGCTTATCACGAATCGAAGTACTGAGAAACTTTTTAACCAAAGTTCTGTTCCGTAGAGTAACGAGATAAATTAAATAAAATGAAATTTGGCAAAATATTACGGTGGCATAACGAAGCATCGAAACTAAGGAAACATAAAAGATTCTGATAAAATTATTAGAGATGAGAAAGAGACGCGCGAGACCTAAAGGGAACATTAACTTGAATCGCGGGGTGGATGGATCTCTAAAAACCTTTGATAAAAGGAAATAGATGAGTTTTTTTTCGGATATACGCAGTAACATTGTGTAGATAGATCATAAAAATAATACTGGTCCGCAAATAAATATTTTCTAAGAAAAATCTTATTCTTGGAAGAATATTGTTTGAAAAAGTTAGAATAATTATATATATTTATATAAAAATAATTATATACATATATATGTATATATATATATAATAATTATATTTATACAAAATAATTATTTTATTAATAATATTTATTAATAATATTAATATTAATAATTATTTTATTAATAATATTAATAATATTTTATTATTATTTTAATAATTATTTTATAATTATATTTATATATTTATATTTATATAAAAATTACAAATTATATAAAACTATGTCACCTTTTCCTCTTCTAATTGAAGTTCCGATTCTTCCAAACTAAGTTCCATGTGACTACTGAAGAAATCGCAGTTTTCGTTTACAATTTTAATATTGATATCTTCAATATTAATATCAAATTTACCAGCACTTCTAGTACGCATTTCTTGCGCCAAAGCAATTTCCCTATTTAAAGAATCGGCATCCAACTGCACATGAAATAAATAAAATTGAAAAAAAATGCTAAAAAAACTTGGTGAAAACTGCAAATCTGTGGCAAATGGTCAATAAGTAGTAAAATAAGCATTAAAAAAAATAAAATTTTATCACTTCGCATTATATATTAAGTTTAATATAAAAGTAAACATTATTTCACTAAGTAAAACAATTTAGCACAGAAAATATATTATAATATATACTAATTTTCTGCTTTATAGAACATAATACCTATTTCTTTAAAATGAAATTTTACCAATCTGTTCGACAAAACTGTGCAAATGGCTCGTTTAACAGCCGGAGCGTTTATCCTTCGTTGTCTTATCGCATATGTTACGCCAAAAATCTAATTATAAAGAAGATATTAGTTTCTAAAATTTTCTTATCTTCATTCAAACCATTATGAATGAATTAATTATTCGTTATAAAGGAAAACTGGATGGTAAAAATAATGAAAAAAAACCTCGGCTTCTTCAACACCTGATCCATTCTCAGAATGAAAGCTGTGACTCAATTTGTCCTCAGAAAGCGCTTCTCCATCACCAGAATTCTATAAATAGAAATAGTTTGGAAAAAAACTTCTTAATAAAATGAAATTATACTGAAATACAAACTAAAAATTTGGACTTACATCAAAAATATCATGATCATTATCAAATTCTTCACCACATTCTAATCCACGAGAACAACCTGGCATTGAATAAGGATATGATGAATCAAAACAATTCCCAAAAACTTCTGCATGACTCGGTAGCCTTAAAAAGCACTTCAGTAAAATAAAACAAACACAATTGCAATTTTTTTTTAAATGAAATGCTTACTCTTGACTTGTTCTTGGTAACAAATAATTCCGCATCCTTCTACCATCTTCATCTGAAAGTTGAGCGGAAGAATATCTTCGTTTTTTCCATGTTGCCTAAAAAGAAAATTAAGATATATTATGAAAATTATTTTAATTCACCATAAACAATAAATTTAGAAGGAAAATATTGAAAATGGATTTGAATAATCTACTCTATTTTACCCAGAAAAAATGAGCAAGGCATAGTATTTTTTCTCGCATCAGAATCAGTTCTCGGTCTGTAACATAAGCAGATCGTATAAAACCATGTAATTCGGATTCAGGAAGACACAAAGTAGTTGGCCTTTTTGCTTGACGTTGCCGTTTCAAAATAGCACTTAACGGTAATTCATCAAAATCTTCCCAGTCAAAAAGTTCAGCAGCATTTTCACAAACAGCAATCTAAACCCCATTAAATATAATTCGATATATAAAATTAAACATTTTTTCAATAAAAAAATGACCATTCACAATCTCAAAAGATTTTTCAAAAAATTCAAATTGTTTTAATAAGCAACATTTTACAATATCACTAACATCCGATTTTTCACTTTAAATTCACAGAGAAAATGCACCTTCTCTAAAATTTATATGGCATCTATTTCTGATTAGGTTGGTAACAACGGTTCTGAATGCAGTTAGAAATTTTTGCTATGGACTCAATGATAAAGATATAAATTTACCAGCACAAACTGGATCCCTTAACGACAGATATCCTCTTACTAAGATTATGTCAATAAAATTTTAAAAAGTATTATAAAATAGTGGCAAGTTTTTTTTTTTTTTGAAGAGTCATCATTTACTGGTTAGACTTGCTCCACTGGCCTGTCTCATTGGACAATAAGCGAGGGAGTTCCCTGGCGTTAGAAATACAGGTGAATCGCCAATCGCCATCATTACCCGTATTTTTGTATAGGTTAATAGGGAACTGGACCTCAGCATCGGCGCCCTCAATCGAGCAACAACCCACTGAGCCATTCTATCCCCAGTTGTAAGTACGACAGGAGTATAATGGGTCAGTGGGTTGTTGCTCAATTGGGAGCACCGATGCTGAAATTCTATTCCTCGCAAAAGTAAACTTGTCCCGAAATCCGGGTGGTGCTGGCGACTTACCTGTATTTCTATCGCCAAGGGTCCCCCTGACATATTTGTCTAGTGCGATAAGGAGCCAGCGGAGTGAGTCTACCCCGGTGAGAGCTCTTAAAAAAAAAAAAGAATCATTAATGCAATATATTTAAGCTATTAACTAAAATTTAATATAGAATAATTAAAATTAAAGATTTAATACTAACCTTCTTTTTGAGTCGCATTTCTTGATCTTTTTTCCCTAAAATATTTTAATAATTGAACATAAAAAATTTTTAAGGTTTTTAAAACTTTTAAATATGTTGAATACAAGAAAAAATTTTAATTAATCCGATAGATTCTATATTTTATATAATTTTAATGAGAAATTTTACATGAATTATAAAACCAATCAAGCTGTGTCATAATATTCAATGTAATTCAATAAAATTCAATGTTCATGGACGATTTGAATTTACTTAGCAAAAAAAAAAAATTATTTTGAAACCGCTTACTTCGTGAATCTTCGTCGCATTTTTTCCAGTGTGTATCATCATTAATAGACGAAGCAAGATAAAGAAATTGTCTTTCATTCGTAAAATTCAAATCTCCAATTGCCGTTTTCGGATCTGCTTCATCATTCACAAAAATTTCACAGTTATCCACATAATTAAATGCGATCTGAAATAAATAATGCATTATAATAAACGAATAAACGAATAAACGAATCTGCCGTGAAAATGTTACCTCTTTAGCTTTCAGTTGCGACGATAAGCACATCTGCAGATCATTTTCATCTAATGGATCATTTTCGTCAATAACTATGGAGGTACAACGTGGTTCCAACGCTTCATCGCAATCATCATAATTTGCTTCGCACATTTTTGTTTCCGTAATGTTGTTGACAATTCCATCATTAGACTTATTTAAATGGTCAACCATTATTCCCAAATTCGAATTATTAATAATTTTGCGATTTCTTTTCCTCAAAAAAATATGAAAATAAAATAAAAATTTAAGAATATGAATATGAATAAATATAAGCATATAAAAAACAACATCACTTCAGCGATTAAAATCAATTCAGAAAATCAATTTAGCAAAACATACGATGTTGCAATTGGCAGATGTGACATGGCTCTAGCGAAAGTATCACCCACATAAATAAATAAACCAAGGTCTCTAGATAACTGAAACTTTTCCAAAACTTCATTTAACTTTTTCATATGTTGCTCTATAGACAAAGAAACTTCGTCCGAAACACCTTCTGAATTCCAGAAATCAGGACTAACATATAAACAAGAAACATCATTCTAAAATAATTAAACGGTAATGTGGTAATAACAATTTTAATATAAAAAATAAATTCAAAATAATCCAACAGAAAATTCAACAGAGCATATGAAAAAAAAATCCTTTTGAAAAAAATTAATAAAAATTTTGAAAAACAAATGACCGGCAATGAGGGAATTCTGGGTTCAGCAAAGAAATAATTATATACAGGATGTTCGCCATGTAGATTCCTCAAGATTTCTGCACGTTTTCTGTTCTTCATTTTTTCCCAACTGAATAAAATTTTAAGGCATTATAACTTCCAATTTTTTAATTTTATAAATAATAAAAAATTTAACGAAAGAAATAAAAATAAGGAAGTTTATACTTTTGCCTATAAATAATCCAATTTATTGATTCTTCGAAAGGTTCAAGTTCATCGGCCAAAACAGCAAGTGAAAGCCCATTATTTGCATTAGCCGCAATCAAATCATTAATTTTCAATGCTTCTGGCACTAATAAAAGTCTCCGATTCAAATTATCGAGCAAAAAAGTCTTCATCCCGCTCAATAAATTATTCTAGAATTTTTTTTTCATTAACACCTTTCAAAAATACTTGCTTCTAAAAAGAAGGAAACGAACCAAAAGAATTATAAAACTCCTTGTATTAAATTTGTAACGCTTTTGTAGATTCCGACGCCAATGAAACAGAGCTTGGCTGGCACAATTATTTGATATTTTTTTAGTTAGAGTTGCAGAAATTTCAGTCAAACCGACAATACCCGATATACTTGGAATGGACATTGAGCAATCGTTTGAAATATTGTACTAAAAAATACAAAAGGTTCAAACATCTTAGAAATTAAGTATTTAAAACATTTAATTTTAAAAAAATAATAATCGCTACAATTATTATGACTAAATGAGCAGGCCTAAAAATTATAAAAATATTCAAATTTCTCTGACCATCAGTATAAAATTCAACTACAATATTTTAAATTAAATATAAATAAATACAAATATAAGAAAATATAATCTCACATTTTTGAAGATTTAAAATAAAAGTATAAAGTTATATCATGCGAGCATGAAAGGATCTTTACAACTAATGAAACAAATTTTTCAAGAATCTCGAAACATGGTGCAGAACAAATTATTCGTGCAATTTAAAGACAATTAAACATTTACCTTAGAATAATCAGAAAGTGTTGTGTCGCACAAAAGAGACAGTATTGAAGAATCAGGATGGTTCTTTTCCACATTTTCCATTAATGCTGGTGATAAAATTTTTCACAGAAAAATTTTTCAAAATTTTTCTAATTTATTTAGCTAACTTTCGTAATCATTTCTTTCATAACAATTTAACACATTAAATTAATCCAAGAGACTCCATGACACATTTCTCCGAAAAACCAGTGGAACAAGTCTAATCGATAATGATGATTGCTCTTTAAAAATAAAAAAATACCGTAAAGTGAAGTCAACCCATCACCGGTGATCTTTTCAATGCGATTTTCAGAATGGTGCCTAGAATGATTATGCAATAAATAACGCCGTCCATCTTTACTCGTCAATGTATTCTGCATCAAAAGGCCATTGGTACAACCTTCATCAAATTTATGTGTAGCTTTGCTATATAAATGGCCAATAAAACCTAGTGAACCTTCATTATCATCCAGATCTGCGATGTTTGTCGCTAACATGGCAATCTTAAAATGACGCAGATATATTTTTAATCAAAAAACAAATAAAAGCATTCGAAAAATTTTTACAAAAAAATTATATCATAAAAAGTATTGGAAAATGTATTTAAAATTGAAAAAGAAGCCCGATTATAAAACATTAAAATGTGGGTTATGTTATGAAAAAATTCTAAAAGCCAACTTTTACGTATGCAACAATAAAAATGAAATTAATAAAATATATACACAATATATTTCATTAATGAAAATCAAAATATAACGTGCCTTAGTTCTTCTTTGAATACAACGATTATATATATCATCTGCTTTCCTTATTAATATTTCCTCTATCTGTTTTTCTGTCATAATTTGTTCTAAATCAAACAAATTTTCATCATCTGAATCACTATCCATTGAAAAATCATCAAGCTGATGCACTTTTTTCACTCTATCAATCATTTCTACGTTCGAACTATCCGTTTCACTATCACTATTTTGTTCGATATCAGAGCTACGCTTCTGAAAATAAAAAATAACAATGCAAAATGAAATGTGAAAATAAGAATGAGTGAGAGAGTGATCTCGATCCTAGTTACCTATAATGCATAAATTATAAGAGAATTAGGCAATAAGTGTAAAGAATATGATACCAAAATAACTGCTAATAAGAACTGAGAACTACTTGAGCTCAAAACCAGCTAATGCATGTTTCGGGAATAATATCGCTTAACAGTGAAAATAAAAGAAGATAGAATGGCTCAAAAGGTGAGCAGCGCCGATGTTGACCGAAACGTCGCAGGAATTAACCAAACAGGAATAAATAGGAATAAACCTTTCCTTCAAAATCCAAGTGAAGCTGGCGACTTACTTGTATTTCTATCGTCAAATGACTCACTGGCAAAATCTGTGGAGCCAGTGAAACCAGCAATTAAAAGCGATCTTAGAAAAAAAAGAGAACATATTATACTTTTTTTTTTGCATTTCTTTCGCAATTTTTTTCATTATCATCACTACAGTCTTCTCTATTCAGAAAAGAATCGTCTATATTCTTCGAAGGTTTCTGTGGATCTGCAAAATTTATAAAAGATCATATGAGAAACAAATAAAAATTGACCATACAAAAATATACGAAATAAAAAGCAAAATATTTACATGATTTACTTGGTAAAAATTAAATGTAAATCTTACTAAAATCACCAAGTCTGGAGCGAACATCATAGGCTTCTATATGAGTGGCATCGACTCGAAACGAATAAATTCGAGCTCCCGCGTCTAATAAAGAGCCAGCTTGCTAAAAATAAAATAAAACTCTGTATGACAATTAATGACAATAAATTATAAAAAGTGGAATCAAAGTTCGTAGTTTTTTTAGAAAATACAAAATGAAAATAAATCAAAAAACGTTATGGAACAACAAATATATATTTCAGGTAAAAAATTATAGAAGATTATCGCCACTTAATAATTTTTTAAATATATTTGTTTTAGATGAAAAAATTTTACAAAAAGAGGTTCACGCTGCACTACACTTGGCAGTCGATCAATTAAATCATCTTGAAATGCTCTAGCTGCAATCTGCTTTGCCTTTGAAACAGCAAGTTTTATTGCTTCTACAGTTTTTGCATTTTTTTCAGCATCGTCTTCTACAAATAAAAATATTTATATTTTAGAAGCTACCGATAGATGCATATTTTTTTAAAGAGTAATCTAATTTCATTACATACCTTCTTTCGGACACTGAATAGTTGTTGCCTCCAAGAGAATTTTGTATCTTTCTTCATCTTCATCTTCTTTAGTTAATAACGTTGCTGAATTCCGAGAGCCTCGCCGATAACAACGCTCACTTTTTTCCAATGCTCCAAACGCTTGATCAACCTTGAAAATTTAACAATCAGAAAGTGGTATGAAATAAAACTAAACAAATTCCTTCTTCTTCATGAAATTGAAGTTTATATCCAAACATAATTTTAAAAAAAATGAAATAAAAAATCTACAAAGTCCTCAGATTAATGAATGTACTGAAACAAAAATCGCTTAATCACTGAAGATAACTGCACTGATTCAATCAAAGAATTCTAATTTCGCACTTTAAAGAATTCATTAAATTTAGAAAGAAACCAAAAAAACTTTCGAAATGTTACATAAAAATTTTTTAAAAACCGAGAAGAATAAACCTCGCAATCAATACGACTGTTCCTCGTTGCATTTCGATTCATTATAACACTAATAAATACTAATAAAACAGCCAAAACAAATACGAAAAAAAAGCCTCTGAAATGAAAAAAACCAAATCAATCGGAATTCTGAAATATGACAAATTTTATTGCTTTTATTGAATGAAATAAAACAATAAGAGATTAATCAATTTAAAGCAACTAATTAAAATTTAGTTTGGCGAGGAAAAATTTTAATTTTAATTGAAATTGAATTCAACTGATTAAAAGGAATATTTTGAAATAAACAGAAACTAATTAATCAGTAAGAGTCCGCCAAAACCGACTAAACATTCGACAAATTCATCTAAAATTAAACAAACCTGAAAAACCAAAAAATAACTTTTCAAAAATTCAAACGAATATTTCTTATCGGAAAAAAAAATGAAGCAAAAACCGCTAATTACTATAGATCGGTTAGAGAAGATTGTGAAGAAGATTAGACAATGCAGAAAAATTATAGGACTGCGAGAGGATTAGACTGGACGCTGTAAAACTGAAACTGCATTACAGTAATTTCGCGCTTCAGATCTCTTTTGAGCGAATTAACGTCACAGCCCGAATATTTTGCGGTTCTTCGGCATTTATCAAGCGTCGGCATTCTTTAGCATAACTCAATTTGTTAATCTGCATCTTCTGATATTTTGCTCTTTTTTATCGAAATCATTATCATTTTCATTCTTGTTCACTAAGGACTTACCAGTTTGCACCTCATAATCTTATCGTTTAATTACCAACATTATTTTCCTCTGGCAGGTCTCACGGTTAGAGTCCGCTGGCCAAGAGCGAAAAAATTCCCAAAAAAATATTCTGTTCGATCCGATACCACCTTTAGCAGTAATAAAAACCATTCCTTTTTCCATCATCTAAGTCCATAGTTCGCTGGTCCACATATATTGAAAATTTTTCAATCTGGGTTTTGATTGGTCTATCTCGCTTTTGACGCCACCCATCAGAGTGTTTAGCTAGTAACGAAATATGTGTTAACTGTTGTAGTGCGCGATGAAAAACGTGCCCTAATCAGCGAAGGCGTCATGGTACTGTTAATGCAAATGTTACTTGAGCGAAGGTGAAACATAGCGATTTTATCCGTTCGATGAATAATTAAAATATATTTTATATACAAATGCAGATTTCAGTCTTCATGGTTTTCACGACTGCTCCATAAAGGTTTCAACCGGAAAAAAACAGCTACCTTATCCGAGATATAATTTCTTTTTTTAATTGGCCATTCCTTGCACTTCCTCATCTGGCAATGAATTCATAAAAATGAGTATTTTATCAGCTTTTTTATATAAACAAGAAAACTACGTTGATCCTGAGTCCGATTCTCGCTATAGTTGTTAACACATTGTTTAACATTATTTACATTTCGTCATAGCAGGCAGCAAAAAAGATTACTTCATCAGCGTATTGAAGATATATTATGGTTTAAGGTGATTTGAGTGCAGAGGAGCGATTCATTATCCAATGTGTTTTATAGTTAAATAGTGTAGGAGGAAGGAACTTGAGGAAACTATTTCTTATTTGGAAAGAGTCTGTCAATTTCTCTTACACAAAAACCTATTCCGATATAGGCTGATAAAATGCCTTTAAGAGTCGAATGGTCTTCTCTAGAACACCGTCATATTTCGTCACCCTTCAGAGCTACTAAACTGCAAAGACTACTGCAAAATCGATGAAAAAAGTGACAGTGGGTTGCCGATGGTGTTCCTTCTTAATGTGAATATGTGGTCACCACAGTCGTATCCTGGTCTGGATCCAGTTTGCTTAGGGAGTTTTGTGCTGCCGCAAGCTTTCAGGGAGAATATCCTCAGAGATATCTAGTAAGCTGATAATTATCGTACTGTTTCTTTAGAATTAGAATTGCTTTTCTGCAGCCATCTGGTATTATTTCTTTCTTCCATACGAGAGAATATATTTGTTGAAGATATATTGTATTTGCTATGTGATGAAGGATGATGGGCAATATTTGAAAAGTTCAGCTCAACGAGTTTTATTTCTTTTCTGCTGATAATTGTAAGCATATGGCTGGACGAGCGATTTAAGTATATTTAGAACAGCGGTTATCGTGATTAAGTTTGGCTTTAAAGAATTCTTTTCACTATATAATCGATTCTTAATAGCTTTAACAGACGTGCCATTGCTATACCATACATACCATTTCACAGATCGTTCTCTGAGTTCTTATTTGCTTTGTGAAGAAGTCGGAATAATTTCTTGTTATCACCTAATCGAGCCGTCGTCTCCATTTTTCACCTCCATTTTCGAGGCCATATTACTCCAATGGTTTGTGCCCCACCGAATTGCTGTCATTGTAATTCTTTGAAACATTCGTGCTTTGGCAGCTTTCTCGGACGGTTGGACTGTTGCTGTCGACATGGAACTAGCGTATTTGAAACATGCCTTTAGTTGGTACCAGTATTTATCTGCAGTTCCAGAGATATTATTGATATTCATTACACTGAGGTATTTTAATAATTCGGTTTAAAATGCTTTTGCTACTGCCGAATCTTTTGGTTGATATTGCTGAAAGATCTATGGGAAACATTGGGAGACCATAACATGGTCCGATTCATTAAGGTCACCAGTTTTAGCACTACGATAGGAACGAGAATCTAATACGGAACTCTTCCAACGGAAATTGATTAAGATATAATCAATCAAATCAATCAATGATTAGAGTGTTGGTTGCAGGAGTTCGAGATATATTTTTTTTCGCGGAGGAGAGCATGTAAGCGTTCTCCATTGATACACCGGATCCCTATGCCATATTTTCCAATCCGAGTTCACCGTGGTAACATCGTAATCTACCCACACATTCCAGTCTCTCAAGATTATGCTACCTTTCGGTGAAAATGCTTGAACGCTTGAAGCTCTGCATAGAATTTATCCTTATTGCATTCATCTGCGCGTAAATTTAAAGCGCAAACATTGATGATCGAATTATTGCGGAACTTTCCTTTAAAGTATTGGCTATGCGGTCGATTACCAGTTTCCACTCAATTAAAGTGGAATGTTCCCTTTCAGACATGGCTACGCTATTTCGTCCCGATTCATCTGAAACACCACAATAATATATCCAGTACCTTTGCTAGATATTTACTATTTATTTATTTTAGAACTAGGTAAGATGCCATATCTCTTATTTTTCTGTATGCTAAGATTTATCATTTCTAATTTGGATTATTGACTACTAAGTAGGCTGCTTCGCTAGAATCACTTGAGCATAAGAAAACTGTTGTCTTCTTAGGATTTCACTGCTGATTTACTCTCTTCAGGAGAAAAGGAATTGAACCCATAATGCTCAAAAGAAATCTTAAAAGATTGCACTTGTTCATGTAGATAGAGCTATTACTACTGCTAAGTGCATTTCAGACGTCTTAACAGCCTATATATTTGCAAATTTATGGCTCATCTAAGCCTAGTTAGTGCACATATAATTGAATTATGTACTAATGCATAAAGTGATAAGAGCAGAATGAGAAGGAAAAAAAACTAGACATGAAGGAAGCAACAATGTTAACCTATTCAATATCGCTCTCTGTATGGGATAAGAAAGGATAGGATTGGCGGTAACAAAGTATTAGTAACAAAATAAAATTGAAACAATCATCCTAATTGATATATATTTTATTTGATTCGTACCATGAAAGAAATTATCTTAGTGAAATAATTAGCAAAAGAATCTGAATAGCTGACCCATCCATTCATCCAAAATAGTTTTTATTGAGCGCCTTAAAAATAAGTGAAATACCATATTCCCTATAACTTCGAAATTTTAAAATACATTTTAATGATTGAAAATAGAGGTTCTTGATGAATTTCTCATTATAACGAAATAAATTTCATACCATATCAGCAGTACAATGACTGATTAATATTTTCAGTATAGTCGAGCCATAATAGAATCTTTTGGAGCCTTAACTTATCATTAAAATTGAAATCTGAATAGTAATTAATGGGTATGTATCTTTCTGGCGAAAGGATATTTTTTTTTGATAGCCGCTGGAGCGGGAAATGCCAGAAATGATGGATATAGAGAAGATATCAAGTTATATCATAAATTTTTGGATAAACGATTTTTTTATAAATTGCTGGTTAAGAAAGTGCCAGATATTAAACATCTTGGATGCGGCCTAATCCGAAATGGCCGAGCAAAAAAAGAAATTACATCCCGGATAATAGTAGCTAGAAATGTTCTTCCGGTTGAATAAAAACCTTCATGGAGCCACAGTAGAAATGAAAGTCCATATAGCTGTAATTCATTCTATCTTGCTATATGGCTGCGAGACATGGCCAATGATAGTGCATGATATTAAGAAATTATCTTTGACCACTCATGTTTAAAATGCATTTTAGTCCGCCGAGCTGATAAATCTTCACATGATTACACCCAGCTTCACTCAAACACCGATTGAATTAACAGTACCATTACGGAACACCGTATCGCCTAACCAGTAATAGTGAAGGCTATTAGAAGAAGAAGAAACGATTTGTTGATTGTTTGAAACAATAAATGGGGTTGTATTTAGATTTAACTCCATACACTTAAGTTTGTTGAATATCTTTTATGTTAGTAATCCTATTTTAAATTGTTTCTTAGATATAAAATAAAAATTTGTTGAAATAATTTCTGGAAAATTTTCAAAGTGGAAATTTTCAGAGTTTAAGGAATTTTGTTAAAAACCAGAAATCTGCGTACAACAAATTATTTATTATTTATTAAATTATTTGAAATATTTTAAATTATACCAAATTTGGAGAAATATGGGATAATACAAAAAAAGAAGGCAGATTACTATTAAGTTTTGTGGTTTATTATAAATTCTAATAAACAGCTAATTTTAGTAGTTAGTAATTTTATGTGAAAATTTACCAAAATTCATTGATTATTTTAAATTAATCACGACTATTAATCGCAAACGCTTCTTTTATTTATAATAAATTTATGAACAGCGTTTTGCGAAGAAGCTTATGAGCTAAGAAGCTTATCACTTTCGAAATACCTTCAATTAATTAATCATTTATTGTCTTTTAAACAATTTTAATTTTCTTTGTTCTTTTTTAAATTAAAGTCAAACAGCGAGTTTTTCTTCCTCGAGCTCTTACAGTACCCATAATAACTGGTTGTGCCGGCTCCGCTGACTACTAACATTCGTACACCTTTGCCAAAGAGACATTTAGGGACAGAAGTACAGTTGGTTCCTCATCAACGTTATACTGCCAAAGAACTAATTGAAGTGTCAGTAATAATGTTTTCATATAGGTTTTCATCACTCGTATATTCCCATTTATTAAGTATTTTTCCCATCAAATATCGTAAATTTTTTTTAAGAACATTTACCATTACTGATTGGACTCCTCTGGCCTATCACAGTAGACAGATGTATCAAGTATGAGTCGTAGGTAGAGGTGAGTCGTCAGCATAACTCGGGTTTTTGGGTAGATTCATTCCTGCGGAAATAAAATTCAGCATCGGTGCTCCAAATTGAGCAACAACTTATTGAGCCATTCTACGTTAATCCTATTATTTTTCCTGTAGTGTCCTTGCCTTATATTTTCGATGTTATATTCGTTTTTAAAATTGTATTAATTACTAAAAGTTATCAAAACAAAGGAATACTTCCCGAATGTTCCGTTGTTTCCTCTATTTCCGACGAAAAAAATTACTTTGCTGAATAGCTAATTTGAAGAGTTCATCCCAGATAGCGCCAAGTTGCACTGGCATTAATCTTAACAACCAGAAATTTCGCTGTGCTTTAATTTTTCGATTCGAAAAACCTTTATTCATGTCGGAAACTTGTAGCAGTTTTTTAAAAAAAACTGAACTATGGAAGAATTTCGTGAATATTCAAAGAATTTAAGTAAATTTAAATCCTTGGTATCCTTTAAATACCTTTCTTTAGTGTCATTTGGCGATTTCAATGTTCAGATTCAATTGTTCAAAGATTTTTTACTTTGTTTGTTTTCGCTAATAACTAATATTTTTATTTAGATATCTTAAAATCGAGGAAAAAAAATCATGAATGTTCGAACTATTTGTGCGACAGTACCACAGGTTATACGGAAATTTGCCGAATCGACTGATATTGCAGTTATATTTGATAATGAAAAGGTCACACTGACTTACAAGCAAATTAATATTGAGGTGATTGCCTTGTTCAACGTTTCTATATTTTATATTCGTCTATTATCCATATTTTAATGAACGAGGTTGAAATTTTCCTGAGTGCATCTCAGCAGCAAAAGAGCAAACCATTAGGGCATTATCCATCTGAAAATGGTTTTTGCACCATCTTTCCCACATTTTTTCACTTCAATGATGTTCAATGACAAACTTTTAGAATTTTATTGAAAATTAATAAATATTCATACAAATTCGATTCAGATAGAATCACTTGGTGCTGGCTTATTATCAACGGGACTTCAACTAGGTGATCGTATCTTAATATGTGGTTCAAATACTTCCTTATTTCTAATATCGACATTAGCATGTGCAAGAGCTGGTCTTATATTTTCGTTAATGAATTCTAATATTCCCACATCTGAACAGTTGAAATACGTTTTAGAAAAGGTCTTAAATATAAAGTTAAATAAAAACGTTAAAAACGAATGAAAGTTTCAAAAATATGGAAAATGGAAAGAGCTTTGTTCCTAAGATTTTAAGTGTTTGAAGTGAAGTTTGCAATTTTTCTTTGAAGGAAAAATCTTTTCTGTTTGCAAGTTTTTTTTCTCGTTACAGCACTTCGGCAATCTTATTTTCATCTTGAAAATCTTTCATCAGCAGGTAATTCCGACTGTTTAAGGGTCAATTTCGAGCAATAATTTGCTTTTCTGCAAGTAGAGAAATGGAATTACTTTATAATTTGCTTATTGAAATAGTTCCCGAGTTGAGGAATTCTGTCAAAGGTCATATAAAAACTATTTCTCTTCCCAGTCTTACACATGTTATTATGGGCGAAGAGGATCATAAACATGCGTATGAACTTCTAATATAAATTATGATTTGCCACTTTTTTTTCGTTTTTTTATCACTATGAATTTATAAATTTTTGTTATAAATTTTTTTTTAAAAATTAATTTAAAAATTATAAATGAAATATAAATTTTAGAAGAAATTTATTTAAATATTCTTTTTCGATATCAATTTATCCAGTTTAAAGTTTTTAAGGCATAAATCGAATAACATTAGAAATAGTAGCAGTAGAAATTATAAAATATGGGTTACTGGTAATCTACTGTTTTTCCTATATATTGTCAGAAATATTTTGTCGAAGTAGTCAAGAACGAATCAAGAAATTACCTATTCTGGAAGAATGGGAACCACATCGGCTTGCTGCGATACAATTTACGGCTGTAAGTTTTTTTCTCCATTTTCATTCATCGTTCTCATATATCGTTATGAAAAGTTGATTTAATAATATGAGCTATTGAAATCTGATTCATAAATGGTTTTAAAAACATTTAACATTCTGGTTTAGTTAGCCTTATTAAATAAGATCCCTTTACGAGGGACGAAATTCGGGATAGGCGGCCGATTACGGGTATGTGCATTACCGAATTATTATTTTATTTACCCTATAAAATAACTTGGAAATTTTTTTGTAGAATAATTCATGAAAGGCAAATCGTAAAGTTTCTTATTGAAGTCTCATCAGTTTGCAAAAATTTTTAGTCCCAAATCATAAATTTCAAAATCGAATAATTTAATTTTAAAGCGTCCATGTCTTAATTACGCATTCGACGAAACACACGCATCAATCGTATCGAATTAACGAACTAAATAATAATGATTGAATTTCGTGAATGCTATTAAGTTTCAAAAACGCTTCATTGATTTCAAAAAATTAGCCATTATACTAAAATTATTTTTAAATTATGCAAAATACTTGAAATTCATGCTTTGCGATTTTAAATATTCTTTTATAAAATTTTGAATTTCCATCCAAAAAAATTCGAAAAAAGTTCATTCAAATTCTCCATAATTAATAAATATAAAGCGATAAGATAACAACGTAAATTTAATACAATGAACGAATAAATATTTTTAAATTTAAATTTTAAGTTTTGATTTAAATCTTTTACATTTTTCACTGAATTTCACTTTTCATAGTAAAAAAATAACAAAAATAGAATAAAATTTCGAGGGAATAAAAATAAGAAATATTTTTAAATTATAAAATTACTAATAATTGCTAATAAATTATATATAAATTTTTATTTATTTTTAAATTACTGTTGTTAATACCAAGCATTGCATTCTATTGTCGTATTGTCATCTTTAATTTCCTTTTTATGAATAACTAAATAAAATTATCTGCCTATTCGAATTGATTCGAATTCATGTTAGTACCACTGACAGTTTTTGAGTACATTAAGCTCGCTTCATCCTATTAGTATGGTAAGAGATTTCTTACTTGGCGATGGAAGTACAATTAGATCGTTGTCATTTAATAGTTTTTCTCCTATTCGAACGTGGATGCTCAAAACATATAATAAATCACGAATCTGGTGTTTGAATTATCGGCCGATGTGCCTTTGGGGAACGCGTTGAATATTTCATCGAATCGGTTGGATATTGTTTAGATTTCTGATCTCGAAAGAAATTCCACGATCTCGCGAGTCTGAGCAATGCAACATCACTCAGTTATGCTCTATTCGAAACAGTGCATCCTGTTTTTTATATGCAATAATTTTAGTCTTTAATAATTGTTTAGATTGATTCATACACATGACCTGGTGATTGGGGTTATTTTATGGAATATTTCCCAAAATTTATGTCGTCAGCATTAAATAAATTTAACGCCATAATGTATAGTTTCGCTCTTTCACATTATCCTTAATTACAAATGAGATTTTTTAAATTTCAAACCCGTGGTTTACATCTACAAAAAGTAGAACCCAAGCGCTCCCAAAGGAGAGCAACAACTCACTAACCCTTTGATTTCCATATTTTGCGAAACTAATCGACGAAGTCTTCAAAATTATATTTTTCCAAAAAATATTTATAATGGAAAAAATGCTTTGGAGGCACGATGGAGATGACTCTAAAATAGTTTAATATCATAAGCCACTAAGCCACTAAGCAATCCAGATGCCATGTGGGCATTGGATTGGATATTGAAGCTGTGCGTGCAAGCTCGAGAGCACAGATAATAATTTCGTGGATTGAAGTACTCTATTCTAGCAATAACGTCTCTCAACTCGCATGAGTGCTAGGGTGTCACTTTCTCGTGGGTGAATGCGCAAGTTATTAAAGTCCAGTATTTAGATCGATAAAAATTTATATTCTAAATATATCCAAACTAAACTTGGTTTTAAAATTTAGAAAAGCGGGTATAAGAAGTGTTTCATTTGGTTTTTTTTTATTTTTATTTAATTGGCTTTAATTGACTTTTAATTGATTTAATTGACTTTTTTGGCTAACATAATGTTTATGAACTTCAGGGCACCAGTGCACCACCTAAGCTTGTTGCAATTTCTCATTACCAGCTGTTAAATGGTTGTAGAATTCTAGCTGATTCCCTAAACTTATTGCGAGAGGTAATATCTTATCCTGTCAATATCAATTTAATATCAATTAATATCAATTTTTATCTGGGCACGCGTATAAAATTTCTGCTGTAGTTTAAAATATAAAATTATTATCATAAAGTTAATGAAATTAAAATCATAAAATCTACTATTAATAAATGATTTAGGACAAAGACTAAAAATTTCGCATTCAGGATAAATTATGTTGCGCTCTACTAATGTTCAGAATTCCTATTTTCGGTCTCGTTGGTCTAGTGCCATTTATAACTCAAACTCTGGTTGTCTTCCCATCAGCATCACCGTTACCTAAATTCTTGTTTGAATCCATAAAAAAATATAAGTGAGTCGAATATTTCATCGTAAATTCTCATTTACTTTACATTTCATAGTAAAGAAAGTGTAAAGGCGAAGACCACTGCTTTTTAACAACCAATTTGAAATAAAATTGAATTCGACAACTCAGACTTAAAAAACAGCAATAGAAATAATTTAGGATTTCGGAAAGAACTTCAGGATTGCAAAATAAAACGAATTGCATGAAAAAATTATTCAGGTGCAGCCATTTGTTAACAAATCCAATCGCCCTTCGATTGGTGCTCAAGATTACTTTGTCGCATAAAGTTCAATTACCAAGCGTAACAAATATTATTCTTGTTGGAGAACGAGCGCCAAATGAATTAATAACTTCGATTTCTCAACAACTAGAAAATGTTAAAACTATAAATGTACCATAAGTTTTACCTTTTTTTGGATAGATTCTTTGAACCAAAAATTAGAAACAGCCATACAGCAGATTGTCGTCCCTTATTACAATATCCTCAATAGGCGCTCAAAGAGAATACGACGACAAGGTTTGCATGTTTTTTTCATCGCACTCCTCAGCGAATAGATGTAATGCTTTGTACAACCACTGTACAATGCCTTTCTGTCATTGAGATTTTTTTACACTACAAAACACCATTTATTTGAAATAATGAAAGGGAACACTTTCTATTCTTTAAAAAAACAATTATATTGTCTGCCAGAAACTTATAATCGGTAAATTTCGAAAGAAGTAAAGCTTGCTGATACTTCAAAAAAATCTTAAACGATAAAAAATTACAGATGGGATATATGCTAACTGAGGCTGCAACAATTCCGATAATGACCGATGCCATTCGAGCAATCATCAGAAGTGTCGGGAAGCCCCTTCATGGTTTTAAGGTTCAGTATTTTCCTAAAAACTCTTATTGCTCATGGTTGCTTGAAGAGTTTTTTGGTTTTTTGAAAATTATTTTAATAGTAGCAATAATAAATTTATTTTATGCACTGTAATCATATATTATTCTTTCAATATTTTGCATTTCTTCAGTAGAATTAGGATTTGGTTCGATTTCTGTCTCTTGATAGAAGAAAATTATTATACAAAAAAAATCAAAATCTCCAAAGTGAGTCCTTGACGAAGAGTCTCGCCCTTATGACCAGTAGAATTAGTCAAAGCAGAAAGGATAATTCTATTAGAAGAAAGGATAAGGATTTGGTGATGAGGTTACTTATCTCATAGAAATATAGAAATCTCATCATAGAAATAACCACATTCCCAGTAAATTATATTTTATCTTTGTGATAAGTTCTTAAATTTTTTAAATTTTTAAATTTGCCTGTTGCAAATTCGTATTTTTCAAAATCAAATTTAAAAATTTCCAATTAAAATTTTTGTTCCATTCAATAAGAAAAATGCGAAAAACCCAAAAACATTAATCATAAATTGTCTTCAAATATTATTTATTTGAAAAAGCGTTCAAAATTTCTTTGATGTTCGTTAGAAAATATATTTGCATAATTAAATTTTTCGTAAACAGTTAGCAAAATTTTTTAAACGTCTAGGTCGATTATGTATGAACGGCTTAAAAACGAAATCCATCAATCTTTTGGCTACTTTCGAAAAGAAAATTTCGAAAAAACTTTCGAAAAGTTCACCATGAAATCGAATAATGCATGCCATGTATCAATTTTATTCGAGTAATATTACAATACTATGGCCCATAAATTAGAATAAAAAAATCCGAAATATGGCTCTAAATCTGAATCCGAAAAAAAAATGAAAACTTGGAATAACTGAATGAATTTTTTGCAAAACCCTCGTTGAATATTTCATCAGATAATTTTCTTATTGGGCGCTATTGGTTAATCGGTTACTCTGATCGGGAAAAATTTCCTTTCTCAAGCTCGATCTATTCGTCAACAAAAAGCATATATGAGCAGTTGAAAAATATTGCTCGAAAAATGCATTTCATTTAAAAACTTACTGATGCTTGCCGTTCAATTAAGCTTTTACAGCAAAATTTTTGGTTGAAAATTTTTAAGTTTTAGAAATAAAACATAAAATCTATACATTATCCATTAAAATTTTTTATTATTTGATTTATATGAAACGATTTTTTAAAATATTTTATCCCTCATGCTTATGAGAATTTTGTAGTTGAAATTATTTCTTTGGCTCATTGGACTATGTCTATCCTTTAATTAAATTTAATCTACAAGCATATGTGCTCAACGAATGAAATCGTTAAAATAGAAAAGTACTCCTTGAATATTCACGTTATCACTTCACTAGTATCATTGTCGTTTACAATTAAAATTAAAATAATCACTAAATTGCCTATTTAAAAAAATAAGCATCTACGAAGAAAATTTCTATGTGATCCACTAGAAATATTCTCAGATTTAATTCAATTTTGATTCATTGTCATTGAAAGCAAAGTAATTCAAATTATTCAGATGTAGCGATGTAGCAGTGATTAATTAATTTTTCAACAATTTGTCCAAATGATATAACTTCTGGGTTTTTTATAATTTGATATTTCTAGATTTTTACTGACTATCTTATCTGTTAACTTAGCTCTTAGGAAGTTTTGGCATATTTTATGCAATCTTTGAAGGCAACATGCACACCAGTTGGAATACCAATTCATCTCCCGATTTCTGTATAATCTATGTGCTGTTTCAGACCATTATTTATCCATACTGCATTTATTTACTGCAAAAGTGATGAAATTTAACTGCATTCAGCAATAGTGCTGCATTTTGATTAAATATCAAAGAAATAAAATTATCAAATAACAATAACAATTCGATAACAATTTGTATAAAACCCAAAATATGAATGAATTTTCCGAATCCATTTATTCTGTTGAATATTTCTCAATTTATTTATATACAATTATTGTTTATCATTTCTTTTCATTTCACATTCATTCGCCAGTTGCTTAATACAGAAATATAGTTGAATTATGAATACCATCCGGATTTGATGATGGGTTTATTCGGAGGCAAGGGGTGTAAATCGAACATATAAAAAGTGAACTCAATTAAAACGACATGACAAAACCTCAGGCGAATGAGAAAAAAAGTAAAAATTAGTAGTGCTGTCAGTTTATAAAGAACTATGGATCATGCGTTATATGCATGTTACAAGTTCTTTTTTAGGTGGATATTATCGCAATAAATAAAGCAACTCAGTCTGGCCAAAGTAAGCTCGGAGAATTATTAATAAAACCAGTCGAGGGATCAAAATTTCTTGGATATGGACCAAATTTCAATCCAATGGAATGGATAAATACGGGGTGCGACTTTTTGCATACAATACTTAAACTGTTTAACTTTGGAATTTATGCCTTCAAGCGATTCTTTTCAAAAATGATTTCGAAATTTTTCATATTTTACTCAAAACCCTTTACAATCCGATCGATTTCATTGGATTTGCATCAGATTTATTCAAAATATATCCAAATGATATAACGTAATCTTAGAGATATTGTCACTGGTGATTCCGATGGATTTATTGAACTGGTCGCATAACGGGAAGATCTGATATTTGATAAAGAAGATAATATCATTGAGCACTGGTCTATTGAAAGGGGGATTCGGATGCATAGTAATGCTAAGGGTGTACAGGTATTTATTTTATTGCGATTATTGCTAAACGATGGGGATTTCTATCGCAAAGTGATACTTTCTTACAAAGCCTTGTCATTCTAGTAATGAATGCCAAACCCAGAATGGATAATTTAGTTAAAAGAAGGAAACTGCTGAAAAATGTGATGCGAAAAGGTTAAAATAAAAATTGGGGAAATCAGCCTTAATTCAGTTCAATGTTCAATGTTATTCAGTATTTTAATATAAAATTAATAAAAATTTTATTTTGATATTACTGTTGAACGATCCTTTTCGATAAATTGATTACAATGATTTGCATTTTACCAAGGTACGAGAAAATAATTAACTCTCACTGTAGTGCAAAATATCCAATCTGCTTCAGTCTCAGCCATTGAAATTTTAAGGTTGTATCGATTGGAAAGGGGGCTCCTCTCGTTGCCATTATCGTTCTCAACGAACCATCAATAAATTTGGATTTTCTCAAATCTGATTTATTATCGCTATGCAAAAATAATAAGGTTTGTTTATTATATGCGCTATCTAATTCTATTATAGCTTTATTTAAAAGATCGTGATGAAAGCGTATAAGAATTGGTTTCATGCTTAAAACTCATTAATAAAATAATGCTTCATGAATTTTCGTTTCTTTATCCATTAATTTTAGAGTGTTCAGATATCATGTTTCTTCTTAAGGAACTTAGTTAATCACTCCAATATGCTTAACGTGGCTTTTTTTGCAAAGTAAATTCGATTCTTGCGATAAATATTTATCGTACATAAAATCTAGCAAACAATCTACTTCTTTTTTTTTCTGCGCAGTTGGCTAATGGAATATGGATCATTGAAGTATAAATATTTTTATTTCCTCGAGGACTGATTTACTCCTTAGATTATTTCAAGCACTATGCTTCGATTCTTGTTTCTCGAATGAAGTCTGCCATTTAAAGAAAATTTGGATGTAGATTTTGGGAGGGTATTTTTTTTTAACCAGTTTTCTATGAGCTGAAAGAAAAATCTGAAAATGATAAGAAAAAGAAATGAGGTCTATCGATAAGTTGCATCGATAAATTTCACGAAAATTTCTCGTATTTTTATGGATGGTAATAGATGAATGAGAAGCAATGCATAGATCTAGGATTTTTGATCGTAATTCTTCAGTTAATAATGATAATATTTCTGCTTATAATGGTTGAACCTATTTATTTTCTGTCAGAACATCATAATTTTTGAAAATTTCTAACACTTCATCTTGTCGTTATAATTATAATTTCTTAATGCATGATAGTTCTTTATCGTCATTTATCAGTTATTCATCCACAAGACCAATTACAAATATAGTTGAATTTTTCAGTTATCAGTGCCAGATAAATTTGCATTTATCGATGATTTTCCACGAATTCATACAAAAATACAACGCTATCGTCTTAGACAAATGATTGCTAGTGGAAAGATAGCTCTGTATTGACTATGCAACAAATATTCCGAATATTATCTTTGAAATTTCGATTTTAATTCATTTTTTAAAAATGTCTTAAATTTTTTATTAAATTTTTTTGTTGGCCGTAACTTTCTGATAAATTGGTTCATTATATACTAAGACACATTTAACTGAGTGCTTTTGAGGAAAAATGTCAAATTTATTGGTATCTTATGGTTATGATATGTTTAAACTAAGTTGTCATCATATGCAGTTTACCAAGAAAAGAAATAAAATTTATGAATCAACAAATAGTACTTCCCCAGTTTTTGCAAAAAAATTTTTTTATTCGTAAAGATCATGGCTGACTTTTTAAATTGCTGGAAAAGTACCATAAATTTGTGGCTAGTGACTACACATATTATGTTTTAACACTGTTCCATTAAAGACCTTAAATAATAATTTGAATAAAAAATAATCGAGAAAGATAAAAGGAAAATGAAATTTTACAATTTTTTATCAAATACATTTAATTCATTTTTTTGATTTTTTTTCAAATAAAATTTTTTTGTTTTGTTCTGTGGCGAATGAAGAAATCTGGACAAATTACGATATGAATGGCACATACGGGTAGAGACATACATAAAAAGGAATTCAGATAAGATAAAGACTGCATTCTATGACAAAAAATAAAAATTATTTGGAAAAGGAGCAAAAATTAATGAAATATTTGTATAATCAGTTACACTAAAAAAATTTATTATAAAGCCTAAGTTCTGATTTTTATTATCTCAAAATTAAATTTTAGTCTTAATCTTTCAAATCATTTTTCTCTACAGACACTTACTCGAGGCTATCTAGTACAAAATTTGTTCTTAATTATTAAAAATTAAGAAAGCAATATCCACGAAAATACGTATAATACCCACTCATTTATATTATCAGCAGCCAAAAGATTCTCAAGCCAAAGTTTCATTTTCATGTTTTCTATCTAAAATTTTCGTAATAATACGAATTATTTTAACTGATTTTAACTTATTTCCCAACAAATTTCTCTTAATAAAATTTTTTTTTAAGGATAAAAATTAAACCTTTTCAAAATCTATTTACTTAACAATTTAACAAGAATTAGAAAAATTAATTGAGATACTGGCTCAAATCAATTATTCCCTTGGGGTTTTCGACTTCGGTGAAAATAATATGCATTTGAAAAAAAATAATTTCATGCTAAATATGAGTTCGACTTTAGATTAAAGTTCTAAAGTTCCAGCTAAAGGCTCAAACACCTTTTTAATAATTTTATTGCTTTGCAGTATCTGCTCCACTAGCTGTGATTCCTAAGAATTTGAATGATAATGAATCTTTAAGCCAAATAAAAGTACAATCATAAGCAATGGTGATGGCCAAGGGATAACAGCCAAAGACATTACGCTATCCTGCAAATACATGTCTCTCATTTCGTCATCATCACCTTCAACTTCGTCACCATGGGCATATTCATCATCATCGAATTCAATTATCACTCGATCCTTCTTTTTTGAATAATCAATTGGCTTTTTAGAAAATGAGACGTAGGGTGATTTAGTGGCAATTTTGGAAGATTTACTTATAATTGGTTGATTTTTGAGATGATTCCCATCCGATGCATCATCATGCACTATTTCATTGCCCGTAAGTTGCCGTTCTTTTATTGGATTCTTATAAGATGCTGGTGAAGATGCATCATTCCAATCTTTTTCCTCTTCTTCTGGTTGATCAACATTTGAATGCCATGGTAAAGGGGTTCGATCAATTTCTGGTGTCATCGTAGAGAGGAGAATCGCTGATTCTGTTCGAGCTTCCTTGCTTTTTGTATTATTCCTATTGTAGCGATTTTGAGGCAAAAAAGGTGAAGTTTGAATAAATCGTTCTTTGTCCATACCAATATCACTAAGAATACCTTCGTCGCCATAATCAGATACTTCTGAAAGATGAAGTTGGAAGATTTCCTATTATCTGTTTTATCTCTCCCCAGTACTTCAAATATTAATTTAAGAGGGATATATTCATGAGTACATACTTCATGTATACAACCACAGAAAATATGAGAAATATAGGAGTATATATATATATGAGAAATATAGGAATATATAAATATGAGTATAAATATAAGAATATGAGTATACAGCCACCATAAGCCTAGCCAAGAACTTTATTTAAACTTTCCTCATTCGACTTTTCTTTGGAGTTCCAAAGAAATTTCATCTGTTTTAGCAAGGTATACCTGAATTTTCAATTTCATCAATGACTCGTTCCAACTCGCTTTTGCTTCCTGCTTTGAAAGCACGATATATTTTTTTCATATTTTTTGCCGTATTACAATTGTTTTGACCATAACACCAACATCTAGCTGTTCCTGAAGGCTTTTCAATGCATCCCGATCGCTCTGAAAAAATCCTTTCCACTAAGCTTTTACATATTATTTTTTCTATAACATTTATTATTTATTTATCAATTTTTAACGAAACTCCTTTACTTTTTAGAGAAAATATACCACTCAGCATTTTGCTAAGCCATAGCATTGAAGAAAATTAGTTCAAAATAACAAGGCCATAACAATCATACTGTACAATATTTCTGAAAAATCAATGCATACCTCTACCATTATATTCATTGTACATGACACAAGCAAACTGGTTACGATCATATAATTTAGAGTACTGGTACCATTCGACAGATTTTCTTTCGATCCGAACGCGGCACGATATTGACATCCTCGGACATTTTTCACTTGTTAAGCCGTGGCCTAGACGAAAGCCGATCAGATGATAATACAAATTAAATAAAAATATTAGAAGGTGGTGCATAATTTTGACTAACACCGTACTGGAATAAACGTGATATTAAAAGCGAAATCGGCACAATGCTAAGAGACTCGTCTGTGCTTTCATCCCAAAGTGATTTTCTCGTTCTACAATAGTTAGAAAAAGGGAAATATGAATGGGTAAGCAAAATTAAACAAAATGAAAATAAATTTTAAATTTAAATCCCTTTTAAATTTTCGTAAATTGCATTAAAGAAAATTTTTGCATAAAAATCGAAGTCATTAAAAGCAGATCAAATTCACATTATTCACATATATAATAAGAATTAGGAAAAGCGGATAAACATACAATTGCTGACTATTATTATTTAATTCAGCTATTCTTTAAATATCTAAATTTAGGCTCATTAGACTTTTCTTTCTGCAGAACTGCAATTTTTTGCTAATTTTTTTTAAGGAATTAAGCAAAACATATGCTATGAATATTCATAGGCCAAGGAAGTAGTCCGTAAAATAGTTTAGTTGAATTATAGTTTTTAGTAACGACTTTTGCAATTCATTTCAAATTCCATTCATATTCATTTCATATTCCTTATAATTCTTCAGTCACTTTTGATTACTTCCTATTCATGAGGAAAAGGGTGATGTTAAGAGCGAGAAAAGTTATTTAATTATTATGTAATGCAGCTATGAAATTTTGGGGAATTAAATATTTTTTATTTAAAAAGTTTGTAACAAAAATGAATTAGTTTTTGAAAAAAATTCGAATCAAAATTATCGATACACTCTTCGAAATCAGAGTTCGATTCAGTGAATTTCGAAGCATCCATTTGAATTAAGTGGTCATCATTTCTGGTTAGGCTCACTCACTCAACTGGCTTTTAATATGGCTGAATTTTTGCCAGAAAGTGGCAGTAGAAATACGAATGTTTAGCCATCAACATTAGATTATAAGCCTACTCCTGCTGTAGGCCGGAACCTGTTGCCTGACTCTTAAGATCCACTCTTGATAACCACTCTTTTATATTGCCTTCATCGATTTGAACTGCGTCGTAAATACTGACAATATAAAGTGGCTAAAAATATAAATGGTCGATTGGTATTGCCGACCTTGTTTTTATATACCTTGTTCAAGCAACCTGGTAAATAGAAATCGTTTGTATTATGGTTCACAGCTCTGATACTTATCTCTTTATTAATGAAAATTAAAACTAAATACCATTAAAAATTAAAGCATTAGAAATAATTTTGGAGAAGTAGCATGGTCTGCTAGCAATACTACTAATAATCAAATGGATTTTAAGAGCCATCATCTATACTGCAGAGAGTGGTTATTTTTCATATCCCTATGGACCCGCCTCTAATTGGAATGGACCTTTTTACTTGTTTTATTTAAGAAAAATCAAGCAAGAAAAAAATTTGCTACGAGCTTTAGTAAAAAAAATATGACAAAACAAATAAATAAAAAACCTGAGAGTGAAACAAGAAAAACCGAAAAGATACCAGATAGGAATCTCTGTATAGCGATAAGAAAATGGGCATAATTTTTTGCATTTATACAATAACAATATTATAACAATACCATTTAATATTAGTTGTGGCTAAGGATTGAACATTTAATGTTGCCAATAATGCTTTGTTCTTGAAACTGGAGCAGAAAGCAAAAACAACATTATTAGGTAATTTGTTCCAATAGTCAACATTTTAAATGAAGTTGTGAGAAAATTTTCCATGTGTTGTAATTTAAAAATAAAGATGACAAGGAGTACGGGAAGTATGCTGGTTTTAGCTGCAAGAATAATATAAAAATAGGGAGCCAAATAACAAAACGTGGAATAAAATGAAAATGCAGCATTAGCTTTGGTGAAGGACTAAAGTTTTGAGTTTAATTGATGTCGTGAATAATATTATTTAAACTATTTTTAAAGTTTGGGACAGAGGAAATAAAAACGATATTCCTAAACAATATTCCAGTAGTTGAATTAGTAAAGTGAGACGTTAGTTCTGCAGATATATTTTTAGAATTTCAATCCACATTAACTCTAGTGGCATTATCATTAAGGCGTGGATTATAAGATTAATAAAAATTTTAAATAAAATTAAAATTAATAATTTAAATTAATAAAACCAAACAGGATCTTGTAAATGAAAATGAAGTCTTGTTTTGCTTGTTGTTTTTGTTCTTTTTATCCCCTAAGCAAATCGATATTATATAAAAATTTATATTAATTTAATCCAGATTTGCGTTAACGAAGGATGATAGGGAGCCATTTAATTATCTGCTTACTTAACGAAAATCATGAAATTCTTTATCAGCCTAATGATTTAGGTCATTTACTGTAAAAATACCAATTGATTTGCCTTATTAACTCATTATTGATAAGTGGTAATAAAATTATTTTAAGAAAAGTGTTGTCGAATATATGTTTGTAACCTTGTTGAGTCAAATACATGGTTGTTAGTACGCTTGGTTAAATGCTTGGTGTTTAAGTATAAAAAATGTTGTCAACTTATCTTGGATCCTTTCTTCTTATCTAGCGACGTTCATTTAATGAAATCTAATATTTATAGCTGCCTATTCGGACTAGCGATCAAAGTGAAATGTCATTATCATGCTTTCCGAACAAATAACTAATATTAATCGCTCTCTACACTAATTAGCTAAATTCCAAAGAAGTTTAAAATAATCCTACACATATGGCTTAATATGCCTTGTATCATCCAACAATGGTACTTGGCCAATTAAAGCATGTTCTCAAATAAGAATCCTATGAAATGAGGATCCAAAGTTTTCGGATTTAAATGAACAATAAAAATCCAAAAAAATTTCGATCCAGAAATTAATGAATCTAACACAGTAATTTTCTTCAACTGCTCCATAATTATTTAAAAATAAATAATAATCTGTTATATATAATAATAATAATCTATTATATATTTATCCATTCAACGCCTATTACAGCTTGAAATCACAGGTTGAAAAAAACCAAACTTATAGAAAAAAATTTTTATGGCTAAGGATTCGAGGCGACAAGGAGTATGGAACGTACTCACTTTCAAGGACAAAAATTCTAGAAATTGTCAAATAATTTAGTAATAATTATGTATTAAAAATATTTTAAGATATTTAAAAAGTGAATAAATATCGCCAATTAATAGAGATGAATAGAGATGAAATTTATTAATAGAGATGAGATTAATAAAGATTAATTTTATTTATTTATTTAAATAATATTTTTATTTTTCATATTTATTAGAAATAAAATTTAGCATGGCTTTAGGATTTTTTTGCAACGGACAATCTAATGAATGAATGAATAATGTTTAATAAATTTTAAATTAAATTAATTAATTTTAAATTAATTCAGCTGAGAGTTAAAAGCGCAGTTCAATAGTTCCATAAGATTTAAGTTCCGTAAAAGAAACTAAGAAGTTTCTGGCAGAATTTTGATCTGTAAAAAGGATTTAGGATAATCTCAGAGTTAATGGTAAGCTTTATTTCTATCAAGAGATAATCCATGAATAAAAAATCTGCTAATCTCCAAAACCTAAACCTATGAAAATCTATTAATTAAACTACTTGAAAAAATAAATAAAAATAATAATAAAAATAAATAAAAATAAAGTTTTCTAAGAGAAAAAGACAATGAAATGATTAATGAGAAAATTTATAAAATTTATTTATTTATTTAAATAATATTTTATTTTAATGAGAATTAAGAAAAAATTAAATTTTAGTTCGATTATACTTCCAGTAAATACTCAATTGTAATAGAGTATTAGTGGTCGAAGTACAACTGTCTTTAGAATATAAAACAAATTATTTTTGCAAATCTGAAGGATCAACAAACAAACAATAATTAATTGGAGAATTAAATATTTGCCTTAAATAATTATATGCTTCAACATAAAGACAAATGCTCAGAGAAAATTCAAAAATTGCACGAAATTTCAATTAATTTTCTGTGCAAATTTTCTTGAAACGAGCGGAACAACTAGAGTGGCATTTCTGAAGAAAAGATTGATATCCATCATAAGCGTCAACTTTCATCATGAAAATCAAGATATCTGAATAAAGATAACAATATTTTTGTCATTGGCAAGCAAAAATAAAACTAAATAAAAAGTAAAAGAATTAGAAAATATAGGTAACAATGGAAATAAATCGTTATTGGCTTATTTTCACACCATTCAGTTCGAGAATTGCAACTGCGCTTTAGGAATATATAATCTTTTTTATTCGAATAAAGTTGATGTTAAAAATTTTTCTGAATCAGTGTGCTAAACTAAAAAATAAATGATTAGCACATCATTTCTAATTAAACTGGCTCTGCTAGCTGTTTGTGCGCGTCTATGAGATTTTTGCTAGCGACTATGAATGAAATTAATAATTTTTTGAATAGGAAAATAAAAGGAAGTGAAGTAAAATCGTGATAAATTCATTATCATTATTCATTAGTCTTTATCGAAAAATCTGTCAAAGAAATAAGAAAAAAAATACTTCTGTGCAAAAAATCAAAGGTAACTGTTCCCGGGCTTTTGATATAATAAATAATGAAGTTTAACGAATGAACAAATCATCAAAACATTTGAAAAAACCTTACATTGTGTTGCAAAAATTCGCTAAAATTGCTACTGGGAATTCAAAAGTAAAACTAAATTTTATCGAAACAAAGTTGGAAAATTCAGTAGCAAAAAAATTTGTCAAATGACAACCCACTTTTTAACAATGGTTACCGAGAATGGGTTAAACTCCATAACCAAATTGATTGTTCGAATTATTGCCTCAACCCTTAATA